ACTGAAGCGTTTCAGCAAACTGCTCCGGTTACTTGTCCGTGAGCCCTCACAATAAGTTACCCTGCAGAGCGTAACGTCTATCTTGTCTGTACAGATTGCAGTCCCAGATAGCAGTCATTGAACAATTTCCTGTCAAAGGTTGTCTGGAGGTCACGATGTCCGATACTCTGCTCCAAGCACAACTAAAGTTGAGATTAGATAAGGTTGTTCAGGGCCTTGTCCAGAGGAGTTGAGTATCTACAAGCCATGGTTGAAAAAATACGTATGGGTAGATTTTAACCTGTATCTCTAGCACACGCAAACTTCCTTTTGTGCTACAGATTCTTAGAGACCTCTGAAGGATTACCGGTAAAAAGCGTGTCTGCATCAATTATCAGAGACGCCTAGCAAATATAGGTACATCGGTAGGGGTAGTCCACCTGACTACGTCCTATGCACAGTCTCTCCATTTTTTTTTCAAACTCATCAGCCACAAATACATCCGTTCACTCAACAATTATTTGTCTCTGCAATAACCACAGAAGTTTATCTGCAGCCGTGTCGCTGAGCAAGCGCAAAGCGTTTGCGGGAAGTATAAATGAGCATTTCCAACAGCAACCACGTTATCGTTCGGAGCATAGAACTGTATTACTAATACCTTAAACTGCTTATTGATTGAAGCCTTGTTTATTCATAACCAAAGTATTGCATGGGTAAATATATTAGAAAGACTTTGGAAATAATTTTTTAAATAAGCAACATACAAGAGCGCTCAGATTCTAAGGTTAGGAAGTTCCGCTAGAATTGTCCTTCAAAACCTAACGCACACACAAGTTTAAGCGCACAAAAGTTCCTGCTCGAGCACTACGTACTTCGCTCCCTTGTTTTCTCTCACAACTGTTTGTATTCTTTCTTCTAGGGTGCAAACCTAATAGTGCAGAGCAGAGCCACATTAGGAATTGGTGTTTAACACGTGGTAGGTAACGGCAATAATACATATATACGGGATCATCTACCTATCTATCCCTCTCTCTG